GCTGGAGGTGAGAGCAGCAACAGCCAGGCCGAGTGGAAGCTCAGGCATGACACGCAGAGGGAAACAACAGACCCCAAGGCGTAAACCTGCTGCTTCACAGCGAGCTCCGGAAGCCACAGCCACAACCACAGCCACAGAGAGCACCAGAGACCAGGAACGGGGGAACATTGAGCAGCGAGAACCTGAACAGAAAGAACAACCTAGACGAAGCCCAAGAGAAATTCTGGTGGCCCTTTCAGGACTTTTGGCAACCCAGATACCAAATGAAGACTCGCTAAATAGGCTGGAACAGTTACTGAGGAACAATTAGCCCTGCGATCCACAACAGGTAAGCTGATTGAAAAATTATTTCCATAATGTAATGAAGAAAGAGGAGCTTCGGTGAAAGCAAGAATGTCATATAGTATGTTTATAATTGATTTTGAAGTCAATAGCATGTTTATAGCGGTGTTATAGAACTGCCAAAGAATTAAGAATTTGTTCGTGCTTAGCGTGCGTATATCAAGTTATGGATGCATGGGGGAAGTTTGGAGAGCACGAAAGATGCGTAACTCTAGCTTCTTGAGTGCTCTCCAAACTTCCCAAGTGCATCCATAACTCGATATACGCACAGCTAAAAGCATGGGCAAATTCTTTTATAACATAGCTCACAAAAATGATTGCTTTTTGATTAACTGCAATATTCTCGTAACGCGCGATACAATAACAAACGGTTCTATTGGCTGATTACGAACACGCCACAATCGTCTAGTTTGAATGAAATATTCTTTCTGTAAAAGTGAGAAAGAAAATTTGCTTCTTTATTCATTAACGATCAATGGAAACTAAGCAGAAACAAAGGTAAAAGAGTCTTAAAGTTCACCTAAAGTTATAACTAACATGTTCGTAAGACGTCGTGGAGTATGGTTTGGATTTGCTGAAAAGATGTTTACGTTTTGCTCGGCGAAATCCAGAAAACATGTTTTTAGCGAAGACGTCTGTCATCCTTCTTTAAACTTATATTCATTTACGAACATTGGCTGATCATTACGGCTTCTTGAGAAGACCTGGCAGCAGTTGTTTTTGTGAGTAATAAATTAATTTATGTCTTCTTGTGTAATTTGTGTTGTTATTGCGATAGAAATTTTCCCGCTTCAGTCGGATTGTCAAGAGATAACAAAGTGCATAACAAATTTAAAAACAACAATAAAAACGGAAATTTTGCCTTTAACTGTTGTTGATGACCAGTTGGTGTCTGTTCTGTTCCCAGTAAATGTCTTTCGGCCAAAATTTGCTGCAGCTGGTCTTCGACAAATTTGCGAAACGCGCAACTTGCTAGTTTTTTTTAATTGCCGAAATAAAAACGACGAACAACCTAGTCCTGGATTTTCCAGTTACGGGTATCTTTTTAACCCGTTAAGAAGCGACCAAAGAAGGTATAAAATTTCTCTTCCTTTTCACGTGACGTCGAATTTTCTGCTGTACTTTGCAGCTAGGTAAAAAAAAAATGCTTACGTCATGTTATTTATGCACGGGCGTGCGTAAATAAAGATTTTGTTCATAGCTGCTCAATAGGACCAATATAGGGCAAGCACGCGCGCTATGTTATAGAAAATTTGACTTCTGTTTCTCTTCGCGTAATTCTGTGTTTCTTCGCGGAACCCTAAACGAGACCTTGGCGGCTTAAAATATTGGCGCTTTGCCCAGAACACCCTAAGCGAGACCAAAATCCAAAATTTACACCCCTAAGCGAGACGACAAGCATCCCCGTCTGTTTCATATGGGAGCCCCCCACCCCCCCCGGGTCTGAAATAGGGTATCACATTTTTTATCAGGTCTGAAATAGGGTAGGGAAAATCACAGATTTTGCTCTGAAATAGGGTAACAGTTTCAGGAAGTGTGTCGCACACCACCACCCAATTTTTCTGGAAGTAGCCCCTCCGGGTCCATACCATACCAAGGACGGCTTCCATCTTTCAGAATTTCCAAAATGCCTTATCCCCCTATGCCCTTGGAGTAATGCCATAATTGTTAACCCCCCTCCCACTCAGATTTTCCACTTTTTTCGTCAAACTCTTTAGAATTACTGGCATGGTTCGCAATTTTAATCCAATTGGCTTATTTTACGCCAAAATAGTTCAAATGGCATAAGATCTAGCTGTACTTCAATACAGTTGGTTACAGAGGGAGTCATTATGACTCTGGGAAATTCTGGAATGAAAATTTTAACAAACGTTTTCTTTCAGATTCAACCAACATTAAGGCCCGGTTCAGATGCCGAACTTTTCAAGCTAGAGCCGAACCTAATACATTGAATTAAGTACCTGAAAAGTTTGGCATCTGAACGAATTAAGAACGTCTATTTCAATTTGGAATGGCTCACCCATTCTTCCCGCCTAGCCTGGCTGGGAATTTATACTTTGGATCGACTTGGGACAGCTTTGATTAAGATGCCGAACTTTTGTAAGCAGTTTGACCAAAATGAGCATTTTCCTCCTTTTAAATTAAGTTCAGCTGCAATTAAGATCGGTGTCTGAATCACTTCAGCCGCTCTAAATAATTTCGGTTGGCCTTCATTTCAATTAGGTTTGCCTCATGAAAAGGTCAGCGTCTGAACCGGGCCTAACTTTACATTTGCCCCAATGTGGTACAGAACATTAGAACATCTTGTGATGAACATTTGTACACTCGGAAGATATTATGAGTATGTATATTTTTATGTCTGCCATCTTGAATTTGAGCCTTCGGGGTTTGAAACTTGAAATGGCGTCCTGGGTCAAAAGACCATGTTTGGCATCGAATAAACAAAATAATTTATGAGGCTGTTTTCATGAGAGAAAAAAAGGATGTTTTGCAGCATGTTTTTCTGGAGCTTGATGTAAAACCCACTTTTTGTTGGTTTTCCTCTACAAATGAATACCGTATGAAAACATCACTGATCAATGGATGCTTGTCTTCCGCGGCCATCAGCAGTGTTGTCAGTTCGTGCTTTGTTTGCAAACTGATTAAGTCAATAAAATAAGCGTTTTCAAGGAATACACTCTCATCTTTCCCCTGTGGAAATTCCAGATCTAACCCCCCCCCCCCCATTCCTTCGGAATTCCAGTCGTGCCCCCAATGCTCTTGGATTTCCAGTTCAAAGAACCTCCCTTGCCCTGAGAATTCCGAAAAGCCATCCGTGTACATGTATGGTCATGGATATTTTCTGGAATCGCCCAATGCCATGTCAGTGCAACAAGCGAGAACATACCTAATGTCCATCAATTGCACTTAAAACTTCCAGCAGTCATGTTGAGTACGTAGAACATGTTTTGTTTATTCTCATTTCCAGTGAACTCCCAATAGGGTCTGGGCTGCCTGTGATCCACTGTAGCTACAGAGTGCACTTGACTAATTTGCACAGGCCTGAGGGACTGAATTTCTAGAGTGAAAAAATGGTATCTTCATTAGTCTGGGAAATGTCTGTTGTTTCCTCTAAATGCACATTTTCAGAAAGTTATATAATACCTTGTCAAGTACTAGGGGTATCTGATGCCTCAAAGTGCCCATAACAAAAACAATTTCTGAAGACAAGAACACATTGCCTTACAAGAATCAGACAGTTAACACACATTAAGGTTTGTTGTGGGCACTTTAACAGGTGCAATCAGAAGTTACATGTCATTCAGAACAGGTAGAAGGTTTTTCACCAAAAAACTACTACACTTTTACAGTATTTTGTGATGTAAAAGGCCAGGAAAATTTCATCTTATCACTAAGAATCAATTTCATTTAAAGAAGGTAAAAAACTTGGGGTGGCTGACTCCCCTTCCAAGTACGGTGTGATTGTTACATAGGATTGTGCTCCTGGTAACAATTTTTGACTGGCTTGGGGTTTATCCCATGCCTCCAGAAGGACTCACTTCCACCAATCTTGCTTGAAATTCAGTGTTGTTTCAGGTGGGGGGTGGGGGGGGGGAGGTCACTGGTTTAATCAGGGTCATAATAAAGATCCCAAAACTTAATGTTAGTGTGCTCTGTTCTGTTGGAATCATTTATTGTTACTTATGTGTTTTTTGTAAAGCCCGGTTCTCTGACAATTTTAAAAAGATCATAATTATTTTGCTGAATTTTAACAAGTGATAAATTACTGCTATCATAATTGTAAAAAAAAGAAAAGTAATATATTTGGCCAGTTTTGATTTACAAGACACTCTTGGAGTGTTTATGACTCTAATCATGGAAAACAAGAGCCAAGTCATGGAAGCTTGTGGCTTTATTAAACAGTTTGTTAATTATGTTGTAAAAAAGTTTTCAACAGAAGTATATGTGGGTGGCTTGCTAGTCTGCGTGGGAGACATTTGAGGGGGAAGCTTAAGGGAAAAGGCCATTAAGGTTACTATGCTAGGACATTTTATGGGGTGTGTACCTATCGCATTCTCATGTACCTTTATTCCCCCTTTCCCTTTCCCTTCAAATGCTTAACACAAAGGCTAGCTGCCAGCTATTTTTCAACACTCAGATAGATTTATGGTCAGACAAGTGAGTTAATGTCAAAGCATCTGTGGAAAATATAATTAAAACAGGATATATAAGACATGAACTTTGAGAACATCTTTTTCTCATTAGCAGACTCTGGAATGATGTTGTATATGACCACTTGTTTTCACCTCATTTTTGTGAAAACCTACTAGAGGTAATATTGCACATTTTTGACTGATCAATGGAAAAAAATTTACAGACTTTATCTCAGGCTGGTACATATTTAAGTTGGTCAGAAATGAATCAGTGTGATAATTAATTTTGTCTTGTGAACATGTTTTAGTTGCACCTTTTGCTCCAATCTCATTTCCAGGGTTCTGTCCAGGAGAGAGAACCTGGGAACGATGTTGCTTTTGCGCCTGTAACTTTTCGTTTTGAATTCCCTATTTAAGATAATATTGATAACAATGACTATTTTACTAATTTCTTAAATCTGTTCTTATTATTTTCGTTTTAGATTAAAAAGAGGGAGAAGACTGCTTTAATTAATAGTTTGAAACATGGAGGATTATTCCAGTGCAACATTGAAAGCTGACATTAATTATATAGATGGAGTAGCAATGTTGAATCTAAGTGAAAAAGGACTCTCCAGGTTACCTGATGCAGTCACTGAACTGAGTGAAGTGGGAGCACTTTGGCTGAGTGGCAATAACCTGACTGAACTATCAACAAGTATAAATAAGCTGAAAAATCTTAGGAGTCTTTACTTGAGTGTAAACAAACTGGCAGAACTACCTCCTGAGATCTGTGACCTAAAGGAGCTAGAAAAGTTGTTTGTGTCTTCTAACCAGTTAGTTGGTTTACCAAGCAGTATAGAGAAGCTGAACAAGCTAAAATGTTTGCGCTTGAGAAGAAACAACCTGAAAGAGTTACCAGCTGGGGTTGGTGACCTGATGGAGCTGACAACGCTGGACGTGAGTGAAAACCAGTTGGTTGGTTTGCCTACCACTGTAAAAAAGCTGAACAAGCTTAAAGAGCTGTACTTGGACGGTAATAAAATAACAGAACTGCCTCCTGACATTTTTTACCTGAAGGAGCTAATAGCGCTGAATGTGGGTATGAACCAGTTGGTTGTGTTACCTAGCAATATACAGAAGCCGAGCAAGCTTACGTGGCTAAACTTAGATAAGAACAAACTTACTGAATTACCTGCTGAGATTGGTGACCTGAAGGAGCTGTGGTCGCTGAATGTGAGTAACAACCAGTTGGTTGGTTTACCTACCAGTATACAGAAACTGGACAAGCTTGAAGTGCTGTTCTTGGATAACAACAAACTAAAAACATTACCAGCTGAGATTGGAGACCTGAAGGAGCTGTGGTGGCTGAATGTGAGTGACAACCAGTTGGTTGGCCTACCTGCTAGTTTACAGAAGCTGAACAAACTTCAAGTACTGCACGTGGACAAAAACAAACTTACTGAATTACCTGTTGAGATCGGTGATCTTAAGGAGCTGAGAGAGTTGAGTGTGAGTAACAACCAGTTGGTTGGTTTACCTACTAGTTTACAGAGGCTAAACAAGCTTGAAGTGCTAAACTTAGACAGGAACAAACTTCGAGAATTACCTGCTGGGATCGGTGACCTGATAGAGCTGAGAAATCTGAGTGTAAGTAACAACCAGTTGGTTGGTTTACCTACCAGTATGCAGAAGCTGGGCGAGCTTGAAAAGCTGTACTTGCGTAATAATAAGCTTACTGAATTACCTGCTGGTATTGGTGACCTGAAGGAGCTGAGTTGGCTTTATGTGAGTGGTAATCCTTTGAATTTTGATGCAATAAGATTTGCCCAAAAGTTGAAGAACAAAGGAAAGTTCATTAACACTGATATTGCAGGTGAGCAGGAATATTTTCAATTAAGTTTAAAAATAGGCTGACTACATTTAGATGTACATGAACTGAGCTACTATAACCGCCACCTAGTTAGCACAGTTCGAAGAACCCAGGAGGTGATTGTTTGAACCTTGGCTAGTCCACCAACCAGGGTCTTTAAAAATCTGTTAATTTCATGATCAGACGCGAGGCTGATTTAAAATCTTGTCTCAGTTCAGATGATTGCATTATTGGGAGGTGGCATCAGGGTTTGGCCCCGTCTCTCTTCAAAGCAACACAAAGAATGTATAATCACGCGAATACAAATTGGCGTTTTAATAGGGTCGACCTGTACTTAGAAGGGTCGTCACAATCTGTCACTGTCTTGCGCTACACAGATAACAGGAACACATAAGAAGCATTAATCATGACTCCCGTAACCGAGTTCACATCCGTTTAAAGGCCCATTATCGTAACTTTTGAGGCCGTTGCTGGGGGAAAGTCGTCAAGGTGTAACTTAGCATAACGAAGCCTACATGTGACGAAATTTGGACAGTGGCCCCTTAGTGACCAGTTGGTTATCACTGTGAGGTCATCAGGACACGCCTATTGTCACGTGACCCAAGAGCAGAGCATAATCTACCCGCTGGTCAAGCTACACACACTGTAGTCCAGCGGATCGTATTGCATATAGTTTAGTACCGGAATAAATAGCTTCATTAGAAGCTGCCATTCATTCTTCTATAAAATTTGGGTCTGTAAATCAGTGTCCCTGAGATTATTGAACATCCTGCAAAGGACAATAACGAGCTGGGCCCAACGTGACAATACACTGCTGGAAATCATTGCATTCACGGACTAAAGAAAATCTTTTAGTTATTCAAAACCCTTATTTAGCCGCAAAGAGCAAGCAGCATTTTGGCATGAGGTAAAACTTGTGTGTTGCCTACAGACCCCCTTTTTTCACAAAGCACGATGGACGAAAGAGCCGAAAACGAGCGGAAACGAAAATTGCAAAGTTGAGTTGAAAATACACGAGGTTGAGTTTGAAATATGACGCGGCGAGTAGCAAAATTCACCGAGTGAGTATCAAACTGCGAAATTCGCATCTCAGTCAAATGTAGAATACTGGCTCAGGTATCAAAACCAAGACGAAAGTAGCGGTGTATAAAAATTTGTTCGTCGAGTTGAAAATTGCATGGTTTGACTGTGTAATCTGACAAAGCGAGTTGAAAATGTTCAGCGAACAAGGTCAAATAAAAAAGTTGAGTTCAAAAGCTAAAAGACGAGTATAGAAACGTTTTCCAATGATGTGAATTCTAAAGGAAGAGTGTATAATTCAGGGGCGTAGCCAGCCTTTCGACTGGTTGTAGGCCTGGCTGACTTTCACTTCTATATATCCTGAAAATTGTACGCATGACTAGTACGCAGTGACCTCACCAACACTTCGAGCTCTTAAGCTTTTAGCTCACCCCAACAACGCATAATTTATTATGAGCGGTAGGTTTATCAAACCCAAAATCTGTAGGCCTGGGCCAGCAGGGGTTTGAACCCGTGACCTCGCGATTACCTCGCGATTAGATAAAAGCGAAAGATGTAATTTGTAATAGAATTAAGCTTAAAGGAGCTGTGTCACGAAATTCAGCCAAATTAGGTAATTACAAAATGCCCGTTAAATTGAGAGAAACGTAAAAATAACCGCTTAAAACATTAAAGGAAGGTTAAAATAACACAACAGGTACAACAGATGCCACGGATGCGCAAAACTGAAGAAGATTGAAACGGATTGAAATTAGGGTTGTTGAAAACTGTCCAGCCTAACAGTTTTTCAAAGTTGATCTCTGCTGTTTGCAACTTCAAAAATAATGCTCAGGAGACTTATTTGTTTGTCTCGAATCTCTGATTTTGTCATTTCCTTGTAATTTCCTTGCTTACTTTAAGTTCCATACCGATTGAGGGCGAGTAATTGGCAAAATTAAACAAAATGAACTGGACTGCCGTGACACAGCCCCTTTAAGCTTAAATGTGGCCGATCTAAGCTGATCTTGTCTGAATCCATAAAAAAAACAAAAACAAATACAGTGTACAGAACACATTGTTAACATAATATCTACACATCCGATTATCTTAGAATTGAGTTTGCGCTCACTCGTGAAATATTTTTTCAACACGAGAAGAGAAATTTCGTATCTCCAAGCGGCCATGTAAAGTTCTATTTATTATATAAACACCAATGAACTACCAAACCATTTCACTTTAATAGTTTTTTGGTGTGAAAGGCGCGATTTATTATGAAGCCATAGCAACGGTGATATTTTCACGTGTGAAGAAAACATGTTATTTTCACATGTGAAGATATCAAGTTTTAGCGCGAAAGCTCACCTGGTATTTCACTGGTGTTTATTGCCCCCGCAGGGATTTCGCCCAGAAGGCGAAATCCCGAGGAGGCACTCTAGTAACTCGCGCGTCTGGAAAGTACTTACAGTTGAAATAGACAGTCACACAGCCAATATAGAAAAAATCACGATTGCTTGAACAGGTGCCGCGAGGAATCGGTAGGTAGTGATGACGTTTTTATTGTTTGCGCCCGCAAGTACGAAATGGTTAGGATGGCGTAAAGACAGAACATCCCCAAGGGACCGCTTAGGTAGATTTTGTAACATTTATTGTGCAGTCATACTTAGGGCCTGTTTACATGGAGTGGGGGACCCCGGTCTGGTGGGGTTGGTTTCTTTTGTTTTTACGCTCTGGGGGACACAAAACAAAAGAAACTTACCCCACTAGACCGGGGTCCCCCACTCCATGTAAACAGGGTCTTAGACACTCTTTTGCGTTACGCGGTATCAGTGACATTCTGTGTAGCAGACTAGTGGAGCAGTTGTTTGAGTGAAAGTTAGCAGAACGATGGACGATTACAGAAATTCGCCGACAATCAAATTCTGTGCTGACTTATTCCCTGCTCACAGATGTCCTTCCGCTATAAAGTTTAAAATAAGACTAGAATGCGCGAGGGTGAATTGATCAAACGTCCTTTTAATTTCTAAGGCTTCCTTTCCGGCAAATAAAATGAACTGAATGTAAAAAGTGAAAGAGAAATAGCGAAAAATCCAACTTCTAATTAAATCTTTTCTTATGGTTTAGAATAAACTATTCTCGAAACTGAGAATGTTTTGATCAAAGCTGTGTAGATCGACCTGAAACTGTGCATGGAACCTTGCGTTTCCTGTGTTTATCTCACCTATTGTATGGAATATGTGTGAAAATCGTCCTTATGAATCGGTATATTTCAAAGAGCTACACAACGAGCAAGAATGCTATTGACCGACAATATACAGAGCGGGGGCAGCTGTAGTGTCAACTAGTACTAGTTGTACTAGTAATAGTTGACACTACAGCTGCCCCCGCTCTGTATATAGTATTCTTGCTCCCTGTGTAGCTGGTTGAAATATACCGATTCATAATGATCATGTTCACACATATTCTATACAATAGGTGAGATAAATACAGGAAATAAACGCGAGGTTCCATGCACAGTTTCGGTTCGATTTACACAGCTTTGATCATTCGATGGTCGGCGAATTTCTGTAATCGTCCATCGTTCTGCTAGTGATAAGCTAGCCGTTGAGTCATTCACTCGTCTTGCTTGTTTTGGGCCGAGTCTTATTCCGGTCAAAAAGAGAGAAAGAGTGTCTGGCAACGTTCAACTGAAGGTTTCCAATCAAAGATTTGTGAATTCGTGTCTGTCAAACTCACTTAGTGTTAAAATATACACTGTTCTACGCACCTTATAACTTCCTCTGCGCTTAACGAGTGTCTTTTGGTCCATAACTTTCATAACAACTGCTCTACAGAATGTCACTGATAACACGTGACGCAAAAGAGTATCGAAGTGTGACTGCACAATTAATGTCACAAAATCTGCCTATTGTAAACTGTTCCTTCGGGATTTTTTGTGTTTTACGTCATCCTAACCATTTCGTACTTGCAGGCGCAAACAATAGAAACGTCATCATTACCTACCGATTCCTCGCGGCCCCTGTTCGAGCAAATCGAGATTTTTTCTGGTATACTGACTGCATATTTGAACTGTAAGTACTGTCCTTAATATACGCGCGAGTTACTCGGGTGCCTCCTCGGGATTTCGCCCCCGGGGGCAATAAATATACATATCTGTCTGGATTTGTTAAAACGTGGCTAAAGAAATTTCAAGTCCATTTTAACTATTTGACATCTAAGTGGAATGGAGTTAAAAGTCACTAGCTGAAGCTAAACAATGACAGCATTATTGCTGGCAATAGACGGTAAAGTTCTCTCGCAGAAGTAACAGTGAATTCGCAATGTTCGATCGTCTGCCGATTACTTGTATGAAATCTGCAAACCAAAAGTATGTCCAGCGGACTTTTGTTATCATTTCAATTGTAAATTATCCGATTTGAGGGTTCTCAATATCCCCCGAAGCATGTGGGGTTCTGGTTGAATCTGCATTGCCCGGGGGAAGATGAGTACGCTTGGAATTGACTGAGCCACAAATACAAGAGGTAATCAGAGATTAGAAAATTGGGGTCGGTTCAACATTATTTCAACAATTAATGTTACCGTAGAAACATTAAACAGGTATTTCAAATTAAGCTGAAATACCACTGCTCTAAGCCAATCAAATTGCAGAAATTTCTCATGTAGTAGTATAAAAGTAGAAATAGTAACGTCTGGGAATTAAATGGGAAGAAGCTAGTTGAAAAAAAAATTACACATTGGTTTATTGAGTGGAATAACATGATGTGAGTAGAAATATATTTCGCCAGGTTGATAATTTCCTTGGAAGGAAATAAATGTTAGTCTCTTAACCTTAACGTTGCATGAAGAATAATTTGATTGCAGATATTGTAAAGCCGAGGTGATTTCTTAAAATAGTTTGAGCAAATTTTCTAGTAAACAATTTGCGTTATTTTACGTACGAATTGTGAAAGGGAAAAAGTCCAACACCTTTACGTGCAAATTGGGTGCATGAGTTATTTTTGTAATCCTGTTTACTGAATTACTGTGTGATAACTCGAATTCCCTCACGTGAAAAACGAAAACGATGCCACCCGAAATCGGATTTTCGACTTTGACAAGCAACGCATTTCTCAACCAAAAACCCAATAAGTAAACCAGCCATGAATAACAGAAGACTCTTGATAGCAGCTGTATTTCATTTTGTACATCCAGTGGAAAAAGACAGTTAAAGACATGATAAGTTGACACAAAACTCTGTCAGCTTCAGCTGTCAAAGTAAACAAGTTTCAAGACGCTGCATAAATTTTCCGCATGAACTCAGCTGTCAAATTTTGACCAATCAGAGCATAAAAATTGGACGTAGAGCGTAACCAACGCGTGACCATAGTAAGAAAAGGTCTTCCCCGTCTGTATTTTTGAATAACTGGCTGAATTTCGTGTCCGAGGTGAGTTTGAAATGAAAATCTTAATAGTGCGGGGCCATAGTGACATAAACACGACATATTTCATATGAATTTTTGAAAAAATAAGCTTGAGCCTGCGGTCATTTGAAAACTAGTAACTAGTCAGCGGATAACTTCAAAAAATACTCGACCTCGATTGTTCGATACCTGAGCCCGCGATACGGTCAGGTGATACTGATCAGCGGATACCCTGTTTTGACAGCTGTCAACTGATCACACATTGATGTGCAATCAGTTTTCTCCTGGGCTCCCAAACTAGCTAGAAAGTGTGAGAGTTGTGTTATGTTTAGAATCTAGATGGCGGTCTCAAAGTGCCCTTGTTTGACCAGCAATGCCATGTTTAATAGATGCCAAGATCGCATTGGTTCCTAAGCATCAACTCATAATACCTTCAACCTTATTGGCTCCTGCAACAGACATCCGAGCATACAAAGCCACAAAGATACATACGCTCACACCACTAACATATGAGCTATTTTGAAAAAATAGTTCAAAAAGTAGTACTTCTAAAGAAAACTTATTAGTCGTGTTGGTTGTAAAAAGAAGGCTAGTATTCATCTAGTATTCGCCTTTCAAGCGCGAAGCCGGCTAAAAACAAACGAAAAGAAAACAAGGTTTTAAAAAGATTTTCTGCAACACTTCAATCACGCTACTTTCGCTGTTGAATGAAAAGTGCTTTCGTTTGACATGTTCCATGTTTTGATTGTCTGTCAAGAATTTTGCATTTTCCTATTCGGCTTTTGTTTCTTTCTTGGAGTGTGGGTCAAAATGCCGCGTTAAGTAAATCAGAATTGCTTTATGGTTACATGGCTTTTGATGTACGTCGATACGTCTGTTTGCACATTCTTCATCGTCACCGAAAAGAAAGTACGTCAAGGAGTTGTCGATTATTCAGTCTCATGAGTCTCTTGACAGTCAATTTCATTTCAACTTTCTGCACTCAATTTCAACTTTCTGTACTGTTTGGGATTAAATGACGTGCTCTCAGCCAATGAGCGTGCTGAAATTTTTGCATGTTTATTACAAACGAAAACGCATTAGTGTGAACAGGGCCTTAATTGGGATGAGTCAAAACATAACACTAACTTTTCAGTGCTTCTGCATGCCATTGTGCATTGAACATGGGAGTGTTGAAGTAAGCACAAAAGCGAACGAAGTTTGCGATAGCAGCGGTACATTTTTTTTTAAACAGTAACATTAGCAATTATTTGATTCGGCTTACGTATGATCTGAAGAATTATGCAGATTGACTTCTTTCATTATGGTGCCCACGCCTATAACCAACGTAGCTACCTGTATCACACAGGTTACATTGAGACTGGTACACTGCGCACTGTTGATTAACCACTTGTGGTTTCGTCTCACATTCGTGGAGGTCCTGGCCAATTTTCTTACTCACAAATACGGGTTGGACTTTGGTATGGAGCTCAAGACTTTACAGAATTCTTCCTAAGGACATTGCTGATTCCGTTTCTCCTTCAGGCTCAAGATTAGCACTTCTGTATGGATTACCAGAAACCCATAAGAAGAAGCTAGCCATGCGACCTATTTCATCTGCAAATTTAGAGTTCTTTAACTCCTTTTAAACTCGCATTTTCTTTTTCCATTCCTTGATGAGGGCGTCATGATGTTACCGAAACGTCAGAACATTCTCTCTTTACTACTACTACTAATAATAATTTATGAACTTATTGTGCGCAGCTTAACATGAGAATGATCAGCTGCGCATTACAACTGTATTACTTTACAAAAAAAAAAAGGTAATGCATTATAAAATAAAAAATAAAAAGAATATATGTGCACGCAAGTAAGAACTGAATATAAAATTGCTCACCAATATGAAGTTTTAAAAAGATAAGTCTTAATATGCGCCTTAAAACTGTTCACATTAGTAATCGCACGAAGTTCTTTTGGAAGAGAGTTCCATAGCCTTGGCGCTGCTACCATAAAAGCTCTCTGTTTCTCAAAATCGTTATTAATAAGAATTTTGAATATAATTCATACTTTAAAATCAAGCTAAAACGTGCTTACCTCGATCGATGTTGAATTTCCGTCTTCACTTTTTCCACAGCATATTTAGGATATGAAGAAAATCAAATGTTTAATGTAGCAGATCTTTTGTCATCTGTCGAGCTGTATTTTTGCTGTTCATAGTATGAATATATATCCATATATCCATAAACCATCAATACATCATATGTATTGATGGTTTATGCAATAGATTCCACGTAGTCGCTCTTCGTCTATCGTAGTGCGGCTTTTTCTTCGCAAAAAGTGTGAAATTTCCCGCCATTTTCTCCAGCTCTACCAAAACAACTTATCAAACGCGACCTCAACGCAACCTCTCCCTAGGGCTTCTCGGTTGCCCTGCCTTTTTCTGTCAACACCCTGCACTACTGACGTCAGTTTACTGGATATGGCAAACGTTTAACCTTAAATTGCATTCTTTCTAGTCCCTTCAGAAATACAGGCACGAGGAGAAAGTGCCGAGCGTGCTTATCAAAGCGCTCTTAGAGATGGAGCTGTTAATGTTTACCGTAGTCGAGTATTGCTGATTGGTCAGGATCGAGCAGGGAAAACGAGTTTGAAGAAATCTTTGATTGGTCTTCCGTTTAATCCAATCGAAGAAAGTACTGAGGGAATCGAAGTTGATCCTTCAGTATTTCAAGTGGATATCGATGAAGTTAAGAATTGGCAACCCATTGATGAGAGTAATCAAGGGCTGTTGGGATGTTCTAAAGACGTGGCAAAGGTAGTAGTGGAAAAGCTGTATAATCCGGTTAGCCGTAAGTTTGTTCAGGAGAAGAACGAAGGTGAAGAAAAGCATGCAAATGACCTCCAAAATGATGACAGCAAGAATGGGGAAGAGGTTGGTGATACTGATGGTGAAAAGAAAGGAGATTCATGTGTAAAGCAGGTTTGAATCAACTGGTTAAATACACATCTTAAGTTCTATCGGAACTTGGGACGCTTTCCATTTGTCAGAAATAACCGGCTAGACCATTCCCGTTTTGCGTAGTAATGAGAATTTCACTTTTAATCAAAATTACCCCACCATATCTGTGAAATTCTAAATACTATGCACGAAGGAAAAGGTTTTTCTGCAAAAACTCTTGGGAAAAGGCTATTTCATTGTCAAAATGACTTTTCCAGCCATGGTCCGACCGGCCAGTTCTGGCCTTTGGAAAGCGCCCTTACAAGGCAGATTATATAATAAATACAGTATCTACACAACTTAGCTTCTTAGCGTGCGCGTAGACATGTCCTATCTCCTTTGTTTCACGCGGAAAAGTAAATAGGAAACGTTTACGTGCAGGCTTCTTCTGCGTAGCTCAAAAGTTGTCTTTTATAATACAAGAAATGCCATGAATTACAGATCTCATTTTCTAGAACCAATTTTAGGAAATTTACCATAGCATATCAAGACCCAAAGTTTTGGATACTCTCCCTACTGAACTCAAAGAATCTGTCGTAAATTAGTTCCATATTGCGTTGATTAATAATTTCTTGTGTAGCGTAGTTTTTTTGTCTTTTCCTGCTGAATTTTTAGACTACTTACTAGAATGTTTATTTTTCTTAGAACTATAAATTTTACTCTAAATTGATTTGGTATTGTTTATTTATAATTATACTTCTTAACCTCATTTCTTATTCTTAGCTTAGTCTTGTCATCTATGTATACTTTTTAACTTTGAATTTGTTTGTTAATGGGTTACACTTCTTGTCAGTCTCGAAGACAAATTTCCTAACTAATGGGGCTTTGCGCGGGAACTTTATTAATAACTCCTCGCTTCAGGCCAACAGCGTGCACTTAATCAAAGACGTTCACTAGAATTCCCCTGTAGAAAAAAATTAAAAACAATAGCAACAACATTTTCGGCGGGGAGCGTTATTCAGGGATAGTATTACCCACAGCGAAATTCTGGTCTAGCTATTTTACGGGCTGTTGCAATGCAGAAAAGAAGAGAAAAATCATTTTGACTTGCGTTTGTCTTTGCAATCTATATTTAGAACTCGTGAATTCAAAGCTGAGGCCTCCATGTTTGAGCTAATTAAGCATTTCTTATTCTCTGCTTATGGCTGGTAACAATTAATTTCTTTGTCCACACACTTTTGCAGTCATCTGGGCCTGATCATGAGTTGACGATTGATACTACTTCATCTCCAGACGATATCAGGGAGCATGCTGTTGAGTTAATAATAAAAAGTAAGAAAGGTGAAGGTGCTAAAGAGGAATCTGCTCTCAGTATTGAACTGTGGGATTTTGCTGGACAGGACCTGTATTATGCATCTCATCCTCTATTTTTAACATCACGTGCGATATATGTTTTGGTGTGCAACCTCAGCAAGTCACTGCATGCACAGGCGGCCCAAGCTCTTTACATGAACGCGGACGTGACTCTTGCTTGCGAGCGCTATTTTGGTGTTCCACTGCTAAAAGAAAGACAGTGGAACACCAAAATAGCGCTAACTCGCCGAAAAGCGAAGTTTTGCCGGACTCTGCGCCCGTTGGTTGTTTCTTATGTTGTTCCGTTATTCCATTCAGCTAAAATAACTGTTTGTATTGTAAAAAAGAGTCTTTTAAGATAAACCGAAAACATCCCATACAAACCCTTGTAAATAACCGTTTGTAACACAACACCACTCGCAAGCAAGAGTCACGTCCGCGTTCATGTAATGAGCTTGGGCCACCTGTGCTGCATGACATTGCCCAACCCTGTGTGAAACAAGGAAAACACGATGTTTTCCTTGACAACCCAAATGGCGAAACAAACTTGGAGAATCTGCTATCTTGGCTTTCCACAGTGCATAGTATCACACAAATGAGAGGAGAAACCTGTAACGATGCAGAAGGAGAGCTGCCTCATCTTCGCCCCCCTGTGATCATTGTAGGCACACATGCAGACAAACCATTTGAAGACATTGCAACGATGAAATTAGAAATACAGAGGGCAATTGCTGGTAAGGACTATGAAGGACATGTGGTGCGGCACATCTTCAGCATTGATAACACTGCAAACGTTCCTCAAAGCAAGTTTAAAAAATTTTTCAAGCGTGGCCGGGCAGGTAATTTATAACTGAATTTCCTATTAATCGTGCAGTTTTTTTTGGCCTAACACTTGAAATGGTCTTATTATTCCTGTCGAAGCTTAGAAATAACAGTCTTAACTTATCAGCAATGCCAATATTCTGGTTTTTTGAAGGGCAAGACAAAAGCGTTGACAAAATTGAAGCTCTGCGGGCCGAAATCATGGAAGTGTTAAAACATGAGCCCTTCATGGGAGAGAGGATACCTGTAAGGTAAATAATTTTCATATCACAAGATGATACTACTTTTTAGCATTTTAAGCTCAGAAATTGTGAAGACATTGAAATATCAGCGCCTATTTCAAGGCCTTGGTTTCAGATCAAGGGTATGGCTTCTGACTAGTTATCTCAACTGGTTGGGTATCAGGATTCAGCCGATGGTTGAGCTTGGATGCGATTCCTGGTTAGACCACATTAGGGTCTCAATGTAACTAAGGATTATGTGCTGCATTTGTTTCACACCTGTGAATGGCTAGATCCTTCTAGGTTGAAGACGAAAAACCGTAGGCTCAATGTCACCGTAATGTTACCTGTGTCTTACTTAGGTGTGTGCGTGCCGCGAAAAGACCGAACAGCTAGGGAAGTGACAGATTTCAGGCGGTGAGCACAAGCAGTGTGCTGTCTGGGTAATAGGTAGCTAATCTGCAGCAAAAAATAACGGCTGCCTATAAACGAATGTATATGCTAAAATTCCGTTGTGATTCTTAGATGAAATAACGAGGGGAATTAACAATTGAACTTTGTTGTACTATTCTCGCTAACCTTCGTCTAAAAAAGTGAAACTTTACACCATAAAATTACTTCATCGGTCTAAATAGTGGTCCTAAAGACAAAGTAGACTACTGGCATGAATATGATCGTTAAACAACACAAGTGCACGATGTAAATACATTATACTTACTCGCACACCACTATGCAGAAAATAATTCCAAAACTATTCCGTGAAAGTACTCAAGAAATTGAGATGCTGTAAAAGGTAAGAAGTAAACAACTTCCTCAAGCATCAGGTCTTGTGTAATATCCCAGTCTTTAGTTATACTTCATCAAAACGTTCTGTGCAGTTTAAAATTTACCATTTTGGAGCTGCCGTATTCGTGTTTCTTTTAAGTAATATGGAACCAATATGATGAATTGTCTGGAATTTATTGTTGAGTATCTATTTAATTCTTTGACTCTTTCTTTTAACGGATACAAAAACAATTCTCCTAATATTCGAAATGTTCAAAATCGAAGTGTAATCGATTTTTTCACATGAGTAACTGCAATTGTAGAAGTCCGGAAAATGTTGAGATAAAATCTCAAAAAATGAATTGGAAATGTTGGCTGAAATCTGTAAAGGGATGGTCGACGATCTTTCGCTCTCAATCCATACTTTGACTATCGGTCATAATTTGGGAAATCATTTGATTAATTTGTTAACAAAAATTTACGACATAGCTTTTCAGTGAGTAAATATATGTTATTTGCCTGCCGGGAGGTCCGTATAGGAGAAAACTGTACCCGAAGTCTTTACTACTGAGGGCACAGTTTTTCTTATACGAACCGACCTAGCCGGCAAATGACGTATTTATTTTTTCCTACTAACAAAATTTTCATGAACATTTTACTTCAGCGTACACAATTTATGTTACGCACGTGTGTCGATGTGGCGCGCGATCAAATGCAAAACCAAAACTAAACTTTACAACATTTTAAACTTGTAATTATTGTCACATTTAAGGTTTCTTTAGTACTAAGATTGGTTTCTGTCTTGGTAGACATATGATCTGTTTTTGTGTCAAACAAGACGCTTTAAAAAAGTGTGCATTTGGGCGGAGTGTACATCAAAGAACGAAAAACTTGACAATAAACAAAACAGAATGTCAGGTCAAACACAAGATTAACAAGTGATGCAACAGTCACACAACAAAGTTTTCACTGCAGTAGCCAATTAAACAAAATTTTTAGTCATTCAACGAGAAGATTTGTTGAGTCCAGGCACGAGAGCTTTCCTCGTAGAAAAGTGAGCAACAATTCGGAAATTGGAATAGAATAGCTTCGTACATTTCATTGTCACCGAAGAAAATGTTATAGAGCTTACAAAACAACAGTAGAAGGGAAACAAGCAAGTAAGCTTGAGTTGCGACTTGCAGTTTTCATAGGAGCTATTTTGTCTGACTGTTTAAGCTTTTTCAAGCCGGCCATTTCACTCATGACAAATTCACTCACTGTCTCCCGCCAGTTGTATATTCGAAACAAGAAGGGAAGACTTCTTGTAATTACTGTGTTACCTCATATCCTTAGCTTATCCACGTTATAGATTCTACTAACAGTTCTCGAAAGGCGACGATGTTTTCTTTCATGCTGTTATTTCGAGATGTGTAGCGGCATATCCAGTCATTTTAGCACTTTGGAAACATATAATATAGAAAGCTTTGAGAATGACAAATAGCTCAGTATGTGGTAGAATAAACACAATACCACATGGTAAGTGCTTTGTACGGTATTTACGCACTCGTTGTTTTTGTAACAGAAATCTCAGTCGTTCGCTGAGCTCATTCGTTCGATTGATACGTCAACAACTCGTGCGTTAATACCGTACACGCGCACTTTCCATGTAGTATTTCAGTTATTTGGTGATGTTCACCCTTTTGGTTTCGAATATGTGTCTGAAGCTGTACATCTGGTGAGGTGCACTACCCCACAGCACGACTACTTGTAATATATAAATTTAACCAAGGCTAAAGGCGAAGCTGCCGTTAATAAATTTGTAATCTACTTCAAACAGTAAATTTGTAACCACTGGAAAGAAATCCTCTTGGAGTTGAACCTGCGATCAGTTAAAAACAAGTAACTTGTCAGAGAAGATATTAAAAAACACGTTACCTAGAGGGGTCGACACCTGATATAGCAGATCGCCCGCGATACAGACATGTGATACTAGTCAGCGGATGCGCTGTTTTGACAGCTGTCAATTGACCACAATATGAATGTGCAATATCAGGTTGCAGGCCTCCACACCAGCTAGAAAGTGTGAGATTTCACTCTGGTTTCCTTATAGTGTGGACGGGCGGACGTACATTCACGTAACTACCAAAATTTCTCGTGTGGATAGAAAACCACGTTTTCTTAGCTATGGTGCTCCGCTCGCGTGGGAGCTTGGAGCTCCGCTATTAAAGTTATGCTGATACATTTATTTTTACTTTTATAAACCAGGTGGCTCAATTTTGAGAAGATCATCAGTGCTTTGCTATCTAAGGACGTTTATCATTTGAATATAAAGGACCTTCAAGCCTATGCCAAGGATATCTGCTTCATTGATGACGAGGAAGAATTTTCCACCATGGTGAATTTCTATCACGACCTGGGAATTATTATTGAGCATTGCAGCACAGTCATTCTCAGTGCCAAGTGGCTGATAGACCTATTGAGGCAGCTGATCACTATTCCACCCTACAGAAAAATGGTAGGAAGAACATTACGCACTTGTTTTTGAAGTGTTGCAAAGGCCTTTTCCTTCATATTGGTCTCCAATTTTGTAATCGCTCTTCATTTTACTATTTCTCAGGACCCCAAGGTTGCCAAACACTGGAAAGAAGTTGAAGAAAGCGGTGTCCTCAGCATGAAGCTGATTGATCATGTCTTTTGCAAATTTCTTCTGAAGGGCGTTGTCAGGGGTGACATTCTGGGTTTGATGGAAAAATTTGGTTTGATTGCAAAGTTCGCACTTTCCAAAACTGATGAAAAGTTTTTTGTACCTTCTCTTCTGAAAGTACCACCTGATTCCATTTGTGCCATGGTACCTTCAAGCTCAGACCCCTGTCCTCTTTATGCCTTCTTTATCACTGGTTTTGTCCCCCATGGTCTGTTCTCGCAGCTTGTTTCTCGACTTGTCCGTTGGTGTTCTGAGGCTGGTCCAACTCAGCCCCCTACCCTGTACCGAAATGGAGCATGGTTCGTCATTGGGAGACAAACTGTCCATGATTTAGTTGTTTTCTGCAAGAAACAGTACATAAAGTTTTTCGTCAAACAAAGATCCCAAGATCAGCAGGTCTCAGGGGATAAAGGAAGTGAAGTGGCAATTCAGGTGCGTGAGTTTGTGGAGGCAACACTACAAGCTTTGTCACGTGATCTCCTCTATCTACGTGGAATGCAGTACCAGATTTGCGTCGCCTGCCCATATTGTCAGCTAGAAAAGTGCAGTGATCATAAACAGCTAGCATGCGCACATGTTGACTGTCGTCATCTCCTTGAGATAAGACCAGGTGACCCACTGATTTGCAAAAAGAAGCCTTCAAACAAAGTACTAACAGTTAAAGGCCTAGAAAAGTGGTTTTCACAGATGACAAGCGAGGTATTAATAATACAAATCTGTCCTGTCAGCATTGAATTAAACTTAAAAGTAGCTTAACCTAGAAGGATGATTATATTTCGAAGGTTAAAGACAATCTTTGCATGTATGAACATTATCAGTTTATGGGAAGATGTCTAATGTAGTGCGACTTCTCCTGTAACAGAGCTCTTTGAAGCGGGAGAGAAGTGGAAAACAGGGAATTAAGACAGTACTTGTAGATGCAGTCAATTTGCCAAAAATTGATACTTCACTTTGCTATGATAAAGGGCTAGCGTTGAAGATTAGCCTCCTTTAAATCTTGTTCTAGTTGTTGGCTTTATCAACGCGGCATACTTAAAGGGGCTATGTCAGCTGGAGAGCATGCGCTCTGAGATTATGCAAATTACTTTCAACTGTCAAAATTCTATTGTTTTTAACGCGTGACTTTCTCCATCTTCTCTGTCACGTCCAAGGCTCCGAATTTAGAGAGGTTAACAAGCGAAATGGGTTTAGATAAGGGATATTTCGATAGAATTCACGGAACGTTTTTTCTCTGGTTATGCTAGATCAAGAATAAAATTGTGACGACAATTTTACTTGTAGTTTTGAAGTAAAAACGCATGCCATTTATAAAATAGAGCGCAAACAAAAATTCAACAACAACATATTGTCTTATTCAACAAAATAAATCGAACAGGCTGATCGAAGTTGTATTTTACAAACGAACTACAAAAGACGCTAGACCGAAGATAAAGACCAAGACTGTTTCAAATCATTAACAATTAGACTTGTCTGTCGCTAGTGATTTTATAATTTAGATGCTGATAGAACAAGAGACATCAAGTCTTTGTTTTGATCTTAGGGAAACATACATTATCGCGCAAAATTGTTCGATCGTGCCGAATCACTGCGACGTCGAGAAAAACAGAACCAAGCATCATTGGTATACTACTCCACTATAAGCAGTCCGTTGATAAAAAGGGAAAGTAAACTCTGCTATTTTCCAAAAATATGCTCGAACACAAACAGTTCAAAAACATGACATTTACAGGATCTAACTCGTACTAACATGCCTCTCTAAGTCCGTTGAGAACAATCTGGACGAGCAAACGGTCGTGTTTATCTTTGCTGTGAATCCAGATAAATACAAGAAGGAATCTAGCCGAATTTTATAATGTTTCCTTCGCCAGGAGTTTAGTTTCGTCACGAAACTCATGGCCTGATGCTCTTGTAATCGTTTACAAAAAACGGCCGCCGCCAACTCGATAGCCGCTTCATTATATGTCCACATACTTTGAGCACAAGAAAAATCCAAGAGCCAGCAGCCTCTAAAATAACTCAATAGAAAGGTTCTGTGAACTATAGGGAAGATTCCATCAAAGATTCCATCGCTCATTGTGGAGTAGCCGTCATTAACTCTGCCATTACAACGGCCGCTGATAAGAGGTCACAGTAAATCCACGTAAAAACATTCCACAGGCAAACAATTTCAAAATAACGCCAAAAAATTATTCTGTAATCACCATAGAACGATTCTTAATACAAAACTTCGCTATCTATCGAACGATGGCTGAGATTTAGACAGATAAAAACAGCTTTCCAAAATCTGCGACAGAACTTGAAAAAGTTGGGTCGTCTTTTTCAAGTTTGTTTTCATTGGCTCGCGCATGCGTGTGGGGTGACATAGCCCCTTTAATCTATGCATAACTTCGGCGTCAAAACCTTTCATCACTGTTGCCATGTATTGCTAACAGCTTTCACATGTATGAGAGGCTACTCACAGTAGTTATTGGCCAGCAGGTCTTGGAGTGGGTATCACTTCTTTCGGACATTATCATGTTTTGCAATAATTGGGCCAAATTTTAATGGTAGTAACCCTATACTAGATTTAATGTGCTATCTTAAAATATTGTATCGTGGTTTCCTTTGCAGGAACTGTATCCTCCATCCCCGTCTGTTACTGCTCAAAGGTATCTACAGGGTTCTAATTTGAAAGTTACCCTCTTGGCAAATGAATGGGGGTCGTCTAAGGGTGGCTTGTCAACGATAAACCGAACACTTGCCATACATTTGGCAAAACACGCAAATGTCGAGGTCACTATTCTTGTACCTGAATTTGAGTGCGGTGAAGACGACAAGAGAGATGCCAAGGGTCATAACATTGCCATTATGGAAGCACAGCGTCGCCCTGGCTTTAGTGATCCTCTTGATTGGTTGTGCTTTCCACCCAGAGACCGTGACATTCAGGTCGTGATTGGTCATGGTGCAAAGCTTGGTAAACAAGCTCAAATCATCCAAGACTCTCACTGCTGCAAGTGGGTGCAGGTAGTGCACACCGAACCTGAAGAGCTAGCAATGTATAAGAACTATCCTGGCGCAATTACCAAGGGAGAAGGAAAGAACAGAGCTGAAGTTGAGCTGTGCCAACTTGCAGATCTCGTTGTAACAGTTGGGCCCAAGTTGACAGAAGCATTCTCGTCCTACTTGCGTTCATCTCATCAAGATGTCTTCCAGCTGATGCCAGGTACCTTTAAAGAGTTTTCAGATGTTGAGCATGCTACTACGCGAGCGAGTGCGAAGTTCAAAGTGTTAACCTTTGGCCGTGGTGATTTTGAAGACTTCACTCTCAAAGGATACGACATTGCCGCTCAAGCAATAGTTGAATTGAAGGACAGTTCCTACCGTCTGATCTTTGTTGGTGCACCCGATGGAAAGCAGGATGAAGTCGCGGAAATCTTATGCCAGACGGGCATTTCAAGAAACCAGTTGTTTGTCAGATCATTCTTGAAAGACAAGCAAAGATTGGAAGAGTTGTTTTGTGAAGTGGACGTTGCCATCATGCCCTCAAGAACTGAGGGTTTTGGCTTGACAGCACTGGAAGCCATGTCGGCTGGTCTTCCCATTCTGGTAAGTGGAAACTCCGGATTTGGAGAAGCACTGCGTTGTCTTCCAAAGGGTATGTCATTTGTGATTGATTCGGATGACCCCAAGGAATGGGCAAAGGCAATAGCAGCTATCCGTCAAAAATCTAGGGCACAGCGGCTTGAGGAAATCCAAAGACTCCGAAGAAGTTATGAAGAGAGATTCAGTTGGGAGAGACAGTGCCAATCCCTTGTTGACACGATGTGGAAGATGGTTTATGGTAAGAAATCAAATTCTTACGAAAGTAAAGTAACGATAATTTAAATGAGCAATCTTAGGATGAGGCTAAGTATGATGTGATAAATTTAGTGGATCGTGGAGGATGCTGGCCGATGTGGATAACACCCTACGAGATCTGCATAATTTTGCACATCATTTGAAATCCCAATCCAATTATTGTTTTATTATCCATTCAAAATGACCCAAGTGGAAAAGGGAGAAAATAAAGAGGGTTTCTTTCTCAATATAAATCAAATAAGGGAAGCCCAAGCATAAATGGAAACGGACGGGGGAACATTTCCTTTTCTCGCCTCGGCCGTTAAGCTTCTTTTGCTTACGTTTAAAAAAAACAGACCTGTAACTTGACTGAAATAGAACTTTGCCACCACGGTAGCATTTTTCCTGCTTGGCTCCTCTTTTGCGCCATCCACACTATCTGAGCGCTTGAAGAGGCTAACGGACATATAGAGTTGGTCCTTATATCGTTCTTTATTTATTTTATTTGAAACTGTATAAGGCGGACACTTATTTTAGAGTACGACAAAAAACCGTGTCTGTGGCCCAGGGGAGGACTCCCTATAATGGCCTATACGGGGAGGCTCCGCTTGAAAGGGGTACCTTTTCAGGCTTCAGGTGTATGAAAGGGTAGGGACTTCATTAGTTTCAGTGTAAAAAGGGGGCAGGAAAATCTGTCATTTCAGTCTGTAAAAGGACTAAAAAGGGCGCTAATAGACGCATTTTATGGATGTAAAAGAGACAAGAAAACTTCCTGGTTTAGTGATTTATTCATAAAAAAGATGGTGCATTTACAGCAGTTTTAACTTTGCATCCCTTTTAAAAAGGATGCAAAGTTCTAAGCTAGGTATAACAAAGGGGCACCATTTGTCAATATACGAGGTATACGAAAGGGGTACCTTTTCTGTCAAAAATGGTATATAAAAAGGGTGAGGGGTTGGACCTCAGGGCGGAGCCTCCCCGAATAAAATTGTTGAGTACCTCCCCCCCGGTGGGGGGGGGATCTGTGGTGGAGAGAGCTGACTGCGTAGTTTCCTGAATAAGAACCGTCTAGAAATGCACTTTGTCGTCTTTGTAGTAACTACAGCATTTGTTCTCTTACAGCCGGATGGGACAGATCTCTTCCACTTTGTTGATGGATATTCATTTTGGAATGCTTACCTCACAAGCATAAAGGAAAATGGTACATGGGGTGATCACGTGATTCTATTCGGTGCCGCAAACTGCTTTGAAACATGCATTTACGTGATAAGCAGTCTGCCGCATCACCATGACGTGATGATCTGCCCAGACTATCATGTTACCGGTAGCAACCGGCTTGTGCTGGGTCTCGTGCATGAGCTTCACTATGTTAGTCTTACTCCACATGAAGGATGCTAAGATGTCTAATTACCCTGCAATGTTTAATTTCCAAACTCACGTTACCAAAATCATGTAATGTGAATCAAGCAACTGCACCTTTCATTTGCCACCTTACTGTTGTGTTGATGGCAAGAAACTTCTCTATCCATATACGCTGAGCGCGCCCTTTTAGTCACATGTTTGTAATTCATTAATGTTATTGTGACGGAATAATTAGACAAAATGATTATTTCATAGGGGAAACGTTCAGTCTGTAAATAATCATACCCAGTCCTTTTAGGTAATATGAAAATCTACTTATTTTAGTCACTCTATTCTATTCTAAAAGTATTGAGTTGTTAAGGATCATATTACCTGCAGTCGCTGTAAGCATTCGAGGAAAACTTCTGTCTTAGTATGTCGCAGAATTCCTAGTTTACACATACGCCGCAAACATGAGTGGCAGTTTGGTCACCTTGCTGTTACAAACATCCTAACAAAATGCGTGTACTAATGATCACCTGGTTACTGTGTATGCGCATGTTGCTGGTGATTATGTTTGCGGCGTGTGTGTAAACTGGGCCTCACCGTATACACCAGTAGCAATTCATTCTAGCATTTTCAATAGCATTTAGTTATTAAGGACAAGCTTTGCTTTGTCTTTGAAACTATTCAGATTTAGGTAAAATATTTAAGTAGAATTTGTTTCTAAAGCATCATTCCTTACCAAGGGTATTTGTCAGTGACGGTATATATCAAGCTTTAGTTCAAATACTCTTTGTAAATTTTGATGGTTAAGGGTCATACCTATCTCAAGATGTCCCTTACCAGTCTCTATGAATCTAGTCAGTCAAAATACAATACAAAAGAATTTTTTCCGTAAAGAATCGGTCCTGCATAAGGTTGCTCCTTATCAATTTGTGAATATTTATTTTTCGAACCATTAAAATAGCTGCTTTTGGTTCTCTGAATATGCCTAAGCATATTCCTTTTCATTCTTTATGTTTTTTTGAGGTACTTGTAGTAATATAGATTGTAACGAATGAAGTCTGGTTAAGATCATTGGCTCAGTAAGTTAGACTCGTTTTTAATTGGGTAGTAACTTTTTCGGATAGTTTGTTAACTTAAAAATTAAATACCAGTTCATATATTTAATTGAGTCTAGAAGTGAGTAGTTTTCTTAGTTTATCGTGGTCATCCATTTGTTGATTGTCAAGCCTAGTAAATTAAAGTAGCCACTTACCTGATGATTCATGCAGTTGGATTTCATAGACTAATTCTGAAATTTTTTAATACACATTTTTTAACATATCTTGCTCATCTCATGTTAGATAACTCGTTTGTTCTGTCAGGTGACCCAGTTTAGTCAGTCAGTCACTCACTCAAAACGCCACGCTGTGATACAGTCGTTCATTCAATCGAGCGTTACTCGAGTCAGTTAGTTCGTCAGCCCGTCAATCAGGCTGGCAATGACTCAATTAAGCAGTTTTGTCAGTTGTATTTTAAGGTCTTTTAACCTTACGTTCTTTTGCAGAGTATGTTTATACCTGTGTGAAGACAGTTAGGTATCATGTAGGTTAAGTGAAACGGCCCGTAACAATTATTCCCAAATACGAGTTACAAGTAAATAAAAGAAAGCAATGAAACTAGAGTTATAGTTCGGAGTAGTCTACTATCTATTTTACGGGTTAAGTAAAATCACTCTAGTCGTCAGTAAGGAAGGTTAGACAGTTTAGCCAAATCTGATTTTGCTTTTGTTTTTGAGAGCTATTCTGTTGTTGTTAACGTGGTTATATGTAGTTAGGATTCATAATTGTAATTTAGTCAGAGCTGTTAAATTCTTTCAAATAAAGCTTTTTTCCATTCCTCGGACTGGTTTTAAGTGGAAATCTTTCGTTATATTGACGCTTTGTGAACAATAAATTTTCGCGCGCCTGGTGAAAGTTGATGTAAACGATCTGCCTCGTTTCCAGACTTTCCTTCTTCTCTTCACTGCTACGAAGAAGGTACGTTGACTACCCAAATCCTAAAAATTGCTATTGATTTGTACTGGTCTCAACTCCCAACATTTTATCCCCTGCAAGTAAAATCAAAGAAAGACTATCGTCAACTCGTGGGTAGGTAGTTTAGAAAATAATCAATTAGGTATCACCTCTGGTTTTCCCACAGTGAATTTTAGGAAATGATAGAAATTCAGATTATAAATATACTATCCTTGTTCTGGAAACAATACTTTTCTTACTGTTTATTGCACTTTAGTAACAGTAATTTAAGTATATATTTCAAAACAAAAAAAAAAAGCAGCAAAACAAATAAGCAAACACGACAAAAGAAAAAAGAAGAAGGGAAAAAGAAGGTTATTAGCAAGATTTGAACCCGGTACCTTCGGTTGACCCGACCTCACATAGCCACTACGCCATTGAGGATGGTCGCACGATTCGGCGAACAGTCTCAAGTTTGATGCCTTTTACATGGAACTTCCGCCGGCAAACGACCGGGGCAAATTGCGCAAACGATCGAGCCATACTTAACCGATCGAAAAAACGACTCGAAGCAATCGGATGAAATTAAGACTAATTGAAACCAGGCTACTGACCGTAAAAACAATGTAAACGCATTTCATGGCAATGAAAGAAGATATGCGATACAAAGCCGACACAACTCCTCCGCGAAGTAGGACGCAAAACATTAGCTTATGTTTTCTTATCTCGATTTCCGCTGTTATTTTAAAGGTAGTGCTCAAACTCACATCCATTTCCCCTCGTGATCTTGGGGAGTACTTAAGGAGAAGAAGAAGAAGTGCCTTCATTTACCATATATTTCACCAGTCCGTATTTTATACCCAGTCCGCAGTCCGTGTTTTATACTGACCGCCATAAATTCATTCATACACACAACCTACTACGCTACTACAAGGTAGGAGATCAAGCCAGCGTCGAAGTTGAAGGAGTCGAAGAGCAAATGCTCATCTTCTCGTCAAGTTTAACGCCTGGACGGGTCAAAGGCCTTTGAATCGTACTAATTTGAAAGATTCCTGCGTGTCTTAAATTTGGTAAGACCAGATAGGATTGGCACGACATCGCGTGCTACGTGCGAGAGTCGCTCCTTAAACTACGATGGCTTGAAGCCGCTCGCGCACGAAGAAACCTTTGCTATCTAGAAGCGCGAGACGAGTTCGGACCCGATTAATTGCGAAGTGCGTCTACTACGAGTGAGCGAGTGGCTCATTTGCATATCTCTGTCGCTGCAATAACTCGTGGTACGCTCGCGCGTACCCACGAGTTAAAAATTGCTGCACTTCTCCTTGTTTCATCAGATGGTACAATTTTGACAGAACAAGAGTTTTATCTGGCTACACAGGGTCTGAAGAAGTTATTGGGTAAACAATAAGAGGTCTTTTAAAATAGGTATAAGCTTGCTGTCTCTTGGTTTAATTTAGCATAATTTTCGGGTGTACGGTGCACTACACGTTTTTCTTTTTGGGGTTATTTTTTCATTATTGCGGTTATCAGATTTGGTATACAACCCATCATCCTGGTCCACCTTGCCTTCGATTTCTAATACATTATTTCCCGTCCAAAGATGCTTTGTACCAGCTAGTCCCTAGCGTTTTCGGCTTGGTCATTCTTGGACTCTACCGTGAGCTGTGACGTCACCGAGAGAGACTCGCTGAGAACTTCTCGCCCACTCTTTCCCAGACTTCGCACGGACACCGGGGCAACAGAGAACGCGAAGGTACTAGGCGGGCTTTGTACCTGGAACCTCACCTATAAGGGCTAATTATTCACGCCAAGGCTAACCTTTGACTGCGGTTCAAAACAGGCTCGTTGACCTACAGGTATTGATATATATGCCTTCTTTACACTATTCTTAGTAAAGTGATTGGGGGTGGGGGATTTTCAATTTGCAGGAATTTTCTTTTTCTGGTCATTGCTAATACAGGAATTTTTGTCTCCGGTAACACCCTCTGCAGGAATTTTTTTGGTGGGCAAACATTATTTTCTAGACTGGCTTTTTCACTACGCTTAACAACATACATACATATTACATGCAACAAGAACGTCCTTAGGTAGCGTTGAGTCTCGCTTGCTTGGAGCCCATGGTGCTTGGAGAAAAGTTTTGTTGTCAAAGGCGGTGGTGCTGTTATGCAACTCTTTCGTTTTGGATACAAAACGAGTGTTATGTCATAATGTAAATACTCAAAACGTAAAAGTTGCGGCAAGAGAGACGGGCCGCACATCCGGCTTAGTTCACACCGGTGTGAAACATTTGAAACCTTTACATGTTGATATTGCTCTAGTGAGGAGAACTCTTTCAGGGAATTTACACTCAAACCATTGAACGAGGATTTTTATCAGTACAAGAGGCACGAGTGCTTGAACCCGGCCTTCTTTTAGTTCATAAAATGATAGAGCGCCGGGGGAAAATTTGCACTATGCAGTAATGCACTACAACCCATATGAACTTTGATGATGAATAAATGGCAAAAAAATACTACCGGCCAGCAAATCAGACTGGAAATTAGACTCGAACGTTCCAAAGGGGTGTACTTGACCATGACTGCATAATGCTTCAAAGTATAGTGTTGCAGCTGGTTTTCTTTTTCTTTAAATTAGCATGAGCTTCAGTCACAATCTTAGATAGTAAACTAATATTTTGAGGAAAAAATCTTTGAAATAACACCCTATACGAAAAGGAAGAGAACATAACGCTCAGTTGGGAGAGCGCCGGTTTGCTGAGCGTGAGGTCATGGGTTCGAACCCAGGCCGGACCAACACTCAGGGTCTTTAAATAACTGAGAATAAAGTGCTGCCTTTGTAATGACATCTGCAAACGGTTGCACTGCTAGTCTTCTCGGTTAAGGACGAAAAACCGTAGGTCCCGTCTCACAGCACTTACACTTATCTGGTTCTTGTGGGACGTAAAAGAACCCACACCACTGTTCGAAAAGAGTAGGGGACGTAGACCCCGGTGTTGTGGTCAACCTTCACACATCACATCATTCACCTGGCCTGGGTGGGTACAGTAAGCTCACAAATGGACGGAGAGCGGCTGCCAGTGGCGCCTTTGTATATGCCGACGTCCGAGCTTACTGTTCACATGTTAAAGAATCCTGCTAAGGGGGCCGACCATTCAACTCTTGAGGGGGGGAGGGGGGTGGGTGATTTTGCAAAAACATTTCCTGCAAGCGCTTGTCGGAAGAAAAAAATTGCATGCAGCACAAACGAAATAGAAAGCTTATGGGAAAAAAAGGGAAAAAAATATCCTGCCCACTAGATTGCTAGAAAAAAAATTCTTGATGACCAGAAATCACCCCCCACCCCCCCCCCCAAGAGTTAAATGGTCGGCCCCTAAACAGGGACGACAATGACAATGGCTCCAAGACTAATAGATCTAACTAGCAAAAACCAAATTGCACGTGCAGCACACTGTTTTTTCTAATTAGCAAAAACAAATTTGCACGTGCAGCACGCTTTTTTGTCTTTCCCTTGCCGTTGTTTTGAACGACTACAACGCTGTTTTGTGCGACTAAAACGTCAAACTTCCTAGTTACACATTATTTTTATGGAGGAATTGTCGTATGTGCTTACCCAATATTTTGTTTCCTGCATTCACGTTCCCTTTTATTTTTCACTGCCGCTCATTTTCACCTCGCTGGCCGCTCCTTGCTGGGCGCTAGCATTTCTCATTTGCTCACTGCCGCTTTGAATTTCTTCCTACGAAATTCGTCTCCTTAGTTCTCAATGACTCGCTCCAGCTCTTTCTCTGTTAAAAAATAGCGCCGAAAAAGACACGACTTTGTTGCTGTTTTTTCTTTCTAAAAGTCCAGGCGGCCATGTGATTTCCTTCCAAATAAAACTTTGAGTTGCATTTGGGTTGACATACCTGTCGATTGAGTTATTTTACATTGGTATACCTGTGGTGCGGACGGACGGTCGCTCGCTCGGTGTACGGTCACGTGATTATTTGCTTAGCTATGGGGCTCCGCCCACGCGCGGCGCGAGGCGCCGAGCGTGGAGCTCCGCTATCACTAAACATTTCGAACAAAATAATTGTCGATCTCTCATAGAGGCAACAAAACCACAACGTTAACGCTACCGACTGACAAAAAAGCTGCCTTTTGTTCTCGACAACATGTCAAGGAGATTTTACCTCTAAGCCAATGAATTTTCCGGAAATCGATCACGTGATATTCCGCCAGTACAGGCAGGCGTTTAAAGAGCAGAGGGCGATTCGACGACGAAGGAAAACCCAGGCCATTTTAAAACCCGTCTTTTCCTAAAGGGAAGGCGGGGTAGGTACAGTTTTTGAACAGTACAGGTAAAATGTGTAAGTTTAGAAGAACCTTATATAACAGACAGTTAATTCAGTTTGCGCGTATTCCTGTTGAATTTGTTGTCCGTTTTATAAGATATCAAAATCGCGTGAAAGTTATTACATTTTTCATAGCTGCTTAGCCGATCCGCTTTTGATATCTCCGTACAGTTGATGATTACGCGATCTCAGAGTGCAATTTTTAGAGCTGTACACAGCATGCATTTTATCACAGTACAAATGGGATAGAGCGTTTCATTTTCCAGGAAAATTTCACATTCTCGTCAAAACAATCACTGCCTCAGTCAGACTCGGAGTAGTTTACCTAAATTTAGTGCTCAGTAAATCCAGAGTAATAGCGATGACCATATAAGTCAATTGTCTAGGTTTCGATTCCCGCCGAAGGAAGTTTCTTTTTTCCTATTTTTTTTCTTTTCGTTTTGCTTTTGCTTTCTTAGTTAGGTTTGTTTTATAAACATATTTTCATTTCTTGACAGACTTTTAACGGTATACGAATTATTGTAAGTTCGTTATCAGCTTTGATCATTATCAAATAGCAGAGGAGCTTCTATCTGGACCTTTAGATTCGTGGTCGAGAACGACAACGAATATGAGATTTGACTTTTTTGCGGAGATTTGACCTTTTTCGCGGATACTCAAAAAATAGACATCCCGGAAAGCTTCGATGCACTTATTTCACCAGAAAAGTTAGCAGTGTTATTGTCAATGAAGGAGGTTAAGCCATCTCCCAAGCGCACATGCAACAACAAAGCTTCTAACATTTGATAAGTTGTTTCCACCACTACGACATTCTCGCTAAAACTCGAAGTAGAATGACGACGACTATCACGTGTTCCCGCCCAAGTGGCGCTGGTTCGCGCGCAAGCACTACTTAGTATTGAGAGTACTCGTCTTAGAATCTAAATGTCTCTAATGTACCACACTTTCAAGTTCCACAATTTTTTATTCTACAAAGAAACTATTGCAGTTGCTGACAATGTTTAAATTCTAGTTAGGGCTAGGTGAGCGGCTCTGTATTGCCTACTCTTCTTCTTTATCACTATACTCAGCACCTGGCGCGATGCCGAACGTGGCCGTGATGGGGTTGGCTAGCGTGGCCCTTGAACGCGATCGCCCTCTTTCTCGCCTGCTCTCACGATGAATTTCACGGCTTTTTCACCACGGCTGCTGCGTTCTCGGCGCTCGGGGGTACGTGACCTTGACATTGAGTGCGCAAAAACGGCGGCGTCGAGCGTGTCCCGTGAACGTGAGGGTGAAAGCTCCCTTTCCTCCCTTTCCCGTTCTCTTTCTTTACGGCTGCTGCGTTCTTGGCGCTCGGGAGTAGTAACCCTGACCTTGAGTGCGAACAGCGGCGTCGACGTTCGGCGTCGAGCGTGACCTGTGAACTTAATGGTGAAAGCTCCCTTTCCTCTCTTTCCCGTTCTCTTTCTTCACGGCTGCTGCGTTCTCGGTGCTCGGGTGTACGTGACCTTGACCTTGAGTGCGAACAGCGTCGTCGACGCTCGGCGTCGAGCGTGACCCGTGAACTTTATGATGAAAGCTCCCTTTCCTCCCTTTCCCGTTCTCTTTCTTCACGGCTGCTGCGTTCTCGTTGCTCGGGGTAACGTGACCTTGCTTGGGGGAACGTGACCTTGACCGTGAGTGCGAACGGCGGCGTCGACGCCTTAAAAAACAATCAAAGCGAACGGCGGGGTCGACGCTCGGCGTCGAGACACGTGAACGTGATGGTGAAAGCTCTCTTATTTCTTGCCTACTTTCACGGTGACGATCACAGCTCCTTTCACTACGGCTGCTGCGTTCTCGGCGTTCGGGGGAACTTGACCTTGATCGTGAGTGCGAACGGCGGCGTCGACGCCTTAAAAAACAGACATTTCATAGATTAGCATCTTATGCAGAAGTCCTACAATATAATGGTTAGCTTTCCAAGTATCAGCTGAAAGGTGTTTTAATATCTAGAGGCCGAAACCGATTCCTGCCTTCATCAAACCTTAACGGACCATTTGAAGGCCTTAGTATTTTTCACAGGAGAGATTTTTAAAAGTGTTACTGAAATATAAAAACCGTTTTGAAATATACAAGTACCACAATAAATCATTTTGACGATCCCAAACTCATTCTCTTCTGCCAATTTAACAACTAAAAGGGTGAAGAAGGGGTAATTTATTTGGTCAAACATCCACCGAACTTTTTTAAATAAAGACATGATTGCAAATTAACCCGATAAAAAAATTGCAGGACTTCAACGGGATTAGAACCCATGGCCTCTGCGTTAGCGCGGCAGTGCTCTATCAATATTTAGTTATGATCATATTTCCGCAGTTCACGTCATCTTCATTGATCCACCGAACTCTCAAGCACTTAACAACTAGTGAATTTTTATTACGAAAACTTTTTTCCATTGACAAAACGTATTCAGTCAAGCCAGGTCAAGCGTACCCCTCAAGATTCCATTAATGACTTTACAGTCGACTCCCGGTAACTCGAACCCTCTAAAACTAGAACCTGCTGCCAACTCGAAGCAATTTTCATTTCCATTCTGATCATTTTCTATATAATTTAACTCTCGATAACTCGAACTTTTCTAGTTCCCTATAAAGGTTCGAATTATCGGGAGTTGTCGGTATTGATCGAAAGTTGAATCCGTTGGATCTCTTCATTCCTGTATGCGTAATTTTGAGCAGTGATTTAACATGCAAGGCAGTTACGAAATTTCTACCAGCTCGGTTTTCTCGAATTTGATGAAAAGCAATAATATTTTACGTACACAAAGATTTTTCATTCTGACCGAATACAGAGAGGTTATCGTAAAAAAATTAACTGCTCATTACGTTTACAGGAATGCAAATTTGAATTTGATATTGTTTGCGGCAAAACTATAGTAAGGGATTCAACTGTGGAATCATTCATGAATGGGATCGTGGGGGTGTGCTTGCCCTGGTTTGACTGTATAACAATATTTTTTTGCATTTTTTGCAAATGCATCATTTTTGGCAGTAACTGTGGAGCAAATTGAACCATATCTGCCCAATGAAATAGTTTTTTTTTTAATACAGGCTGACAATGTACAGAATGTATTGATCACAAGGCTACAAAACAAATAACATGAACAATAAAGGATAATTCTTAAATAAATTAATAAATTATTGTCCACCTTACCTTGGGCTCCGACTACGAGAGCGGCGACTGCAAAAAATAAGAAATGGCTAACTCAATAAATTCTAACATGTCAAAATTGGTCTGTCAAGCACTGAATAAGATTGTATCCCTGTTGCCTTCATCTGTCCTACTACTGCCGGCCTCTCCCCTTACCTTTTCCAACGCATCTGTACTGGTGCTATAAGAGGAAGAAAAAAGTTTCATGTTAAGTGATCGTTATTTTCAACAACAGAAAATGTGTGTGGTATATAGTTAGGGCACATATTTAAATTTCGACCGGCACATTTTATTCTTATGCCTTACTTTTTCTGGCTCCCTCTGCAAACTGAACTTCTAGTTCTCTTCCAAGAAGCATAACTCCGTCCAGGTAGTGATGGGCATCCTCGGCACCACGTATGTCTTTAAAAGTATGGTATGTTAAGGCTTAATTTTCTTTCCTTCGACCTAACCTGAGATCAGGCTCAATTTTCGTTTCGTTTTGTAATAACATCCCGTCGGGCAATGCGAAATGAAAACAGATTTTAGCGGTAGCCGTTAGAGAAAATGTATGAGAACCGCTATGAATTGGGCCTGATCTCAGGTTACCTTCGACCAAGCTTTGCCTAGAACAAAAGCTTGATAATTGCTTACTCTGCTGACAAAATCTTTTGATGGTTAATGCCCCTGCTTTATCAACTCATTCAAGTATTACTAAATAAAAAAAGACTTTGATTTATTAACTTCCTTTTAGGGACATCTTCAAAACTGCCAAGCATCGATCACCTTGTCAATCTACAAGCACAACCTTTTAGTTTATAGTTACACTCTCACTTTTCATTGAAAAGTGATCTTGATATCCTGGCAAAATTAATTCCTTTTAGCGAAATCCTGTGGAAACACATTCACATCTTCTATATTTACACTACACATAAAAGACTGCAGAAATGATGACGGTATCACCGTTATCTCAATGTTGATGTAAGCTGAAATGTCACCTTTCAATTTTGTTTCTTTTTTTGCTCCGAGAGTGATTCTGTTAAAAAAATTGTTTTAATTATAGTCTATGGAAAAGCGTTTTTTCATCCCTACTTTTGTTATGGGTACAAGAGTTTGGTATACCTGGTTACATTGAAACTGTGATATACAGTTACAGCTACTGGCTTCACATTTTGTTACTGTGTGCTTGGATGCTTTTCTTTGACACTTGTCCTTGCCTTGACTGCTGTTTAGTGTTAGATTTAGCTTGTATAGCTTCTACCTTGAACATAACTTTGACTTTTTCTGTGGCTGGTCTAATTTTGGGTATTTTGTACTTTTGAGGTTTGCTTTTACAACTTTTCTTTGAAACTTGTCTTCACTCGAGAAGTTTTAACTGGCTTTGGAATTAGCTTGGTACAACTTGGTAGCTAGAATGAACTCTGCATGTTTGTGTTTTTGGCAAAAACACAAACAAACATCAGTAAATTGCGGCTGAGTCGCAGCAAAACTATAAAAATCAGAGAAAACTGCAAGATTTAAAAGCTCAAACATAACGGGTGAGCTAAAGGGATACCTCTTTCAATGAACAAAACTGTGGGAAGAGCTGGTCGCACTAACAGCGAGGCAAAATTAAAAAAGCCACGAAGCCAACTGATCAAGAAGAAGCAAGAAGTAAGCTTAAGCTTATGTCAAGAAAATGGTAAATTGTCTCAAAAATGTCAATATTCAAATACTTTTAATGTAATTTTATACTTCTTATCATTCTATTTCACTTGTCAGTCCGGGATCGTTATCAAATTTGATAATCTCAACCAAAACAAACCACGAGCCAATCGCTGTTCAAATTTTCGTTCACGTGACCTAATTTGGAGGAACGCGTTCTTGAATTCAATATGGCAGACGATGTCGAGATTTTTTCAGTAAATAGAGAGGAGTACTGCCGAGACAGCAACTCGTGTACATGTTAATTTTTTATAACAGACATCTCGCAGTAAATTGTAGAACTGGTGAAATTGTATTTGAGACGCATTTTTCCAAATAAGACCTCTGCGGAAAGCTTCGTGTACTTTAAACAAATCATCAAACTCATACGTAATTTGTTTTTACTGAAATGTTCAAATTAAAGAGACACAGTGATAGGGTCAATGGTTATTCTGTTAAGGATAGAGGTTTTATTTTTAACATCGTCTACAGAAGTTTGCTTTTTCGAAGTTCATTCTGCTTTTTTCTTCTTGTCACGAGGAGATGATGTCGATGATGGTTGTTGTCGATAGATCTATCAATGAAACAAAAACGGAACATGCAGACAATGGAAACACAGGTCTCAAAGGGTATTTTAACAATGGTATACTAATGATATGAACGCTATGAATTTACTTTTTTTGTAATTACAAACTGTAACATTACTTGTATAATAATAACACTGTAGCTAACCGCAACAGAACGAACTAGAGTACAAATACAGTGAACGACAACCAACTTAGACATGTTTCAATGAACTTTTCAAGGAAATCTTAAATGTGTTTTAAGATGTTTACGTTCAAATGGAAATATTTTTACTAAAGAGGTGTGATTTGGGAATGTGTGAAGTTCGTCTTTAGGGACATTTCTTATAAGATGAATGTGTTTGAATATTCATCATCATTGAACGGGTAAGGGCCAATTCCAACACACAACACGTGAACTCACAATCAGCAAATGTTTTACTATTACCAAACCCCAAAAACAGTAAATTCCTACAAAGAGCGAAAAAATAATAGTTACAATACAGAAAACACTACTTCAAGGCGACTGCAAAATGAAATTAATGAAAAAACGATGAAAACGAAGCTGCTTACCAAAACGACTCCTATTGTCTCAGCCACCAGTCCCGGTGGCTCCTTTTTCTATTAGATGAAGCTGCTTACAACAATGTCTAATAGACACGTAAAAACTGGTAATAAATAGGGGCGAGATAACAAACTATAACGAAACTTACATACAGCACGTAACAAAGGAGCATAATTAACAAAATACCGGAGAGCGAAAAGAAAAAGAATACACGATAATAAGTAAGTGAGAAAACGAAAAACAAAAGGAAAAAATTTACCCCAACAATCATCAAGTCTCATCGAGCCAGTAGGCGCATAAGGCCACATTTTTTAATATTGCAAATGTAAAAGTGTTTCCATGACAACTTCCTTATTTACTGAGTTTTGTTGTGCTAGGTTGTTACTAAATTATTTCGTTCATTTCCTAATCCAAAAAACATAACGATTTGTTAAATGAACGGAATGATGTTGAGAATTCTCACAATATAATTTTTCTTGGTAGATGTAACAGAGGGCTAATGCAGGAATTTCAGTGCTTAACGGTAACAAAACGGCTTATGCCACAGTACTATATATAACACAAGATAAATAAAGCATCAATGGCCGTATTTATACTAGAAGACGTCTTAGACGTCCAGACGCATTAGACGTCTGACTGTTTAGCGCGTGGTTAAGTGCGTCCCGTTTCTATACTAGACGTCTTAAACGTCTGAGACGACTAATTCATCTGTTAAGCGCGTCGATCCGGACACACTTAACTTCAGACGTTTTATTCGTCTGGCGTTTAATGCGTCTGCCTTATTTCCCGTATTTATACTAGACGTCTAAGTCGTCTAAGACGTCTTAGACGTCCTCTAGTATAAATAGGGCTAATGTCTTTGTTAAGCTAGACTTCGATCTGATAATAGTCCAAAAAAAGCGAGTGATGTGGAGACAAGAGGCTCAGTTCGCTCAATAGAGGCTACTCTCAAGAGTCTCCGTTTTCCTCAAACGACGCTCATCCATTCTTAGGAAAGGTTCATTCATCTCCGGACGACGAGTGTTTGCGAGCAACGGCTTCGCCATGTTAGCTTGTTGGACCTTTTCACTTCGTACGAAACGACTTAACCTAGTGCAAAACATAAATAGCCGTATCAAGGAAAGCGACCTGAATTCGAGAACAATAGGTATTCTTGTATTGTTATTTCTTATCCTTTCTTGCGATCAACGATTAACGTGAAACAATACCTTTCAAGCGCTGCAAATCTCAACATTCCCGATTACTTCTTTCCGATGAGATTTGAATTTTTGGATTAATATATTAAAAAGGAACAGCAAACAACTGAAAAGACTGAAAAAAAATCACACATTCTTTCACCTCACTGTCCGCGAAGTTTAAAACACAATTCTGCGCCCTCGACTCTTTAAACGTATATATAGGTGGTTTTCATGCAATCTCGGGAGACACAAAAAACAATGGTGAAATGAACAAATCCTGGTGGACAAACAAAGCAAGCTAATGAGCGATCTTTTGTTTACCGTCCACCAGCATGGCGGCGATGACGTAACGTGAAAACCACCTATATATATAAATTTATTGCGCTCTTCAAGAAAAATTCTCGCGCTTAGTGCTCAACTTCTCTAACATGAACGCGCTGTTTACTTAATTAGTGCCAAACCTTTACAAACTTAGACGAAAAGAAACCACAACAACAAGGATATTGTACATAAGCAAAGCCTCGGGATTCTCCTGTGTAGTAGTCCAACGGAATGTACACGTTGGTAGAGCGGTTTTCACTTGACTGTCGTAAAACCAAAACCAAAGTAAATACACTAGCCAACCAAAGGGCGTAGTAAAACCAAAACCAAAACCAAAACCAATCCCTTTCGACAGTCAAGTGAAAACCGCTCTAATTCGGCCATATCTGGCGAACAGGCGTCTAAGATCTTCGGATCTAACAAGAGAGTTCCGGTCGCAAATTAGATAAAAAGTGAGCAAAAACTAAATAAAATGCTTTAACTGGTCTAACCTTGTCTCGCGATGTAAGTTTTTCACGAAAAGAGAGCAGTTTGGTGGTCTCGCCATTTTCGTTTCTTCTGGCTGAAAGAAAACCCCTCTATGAGAGTTATTATAGGATGCCTAGTGCATTGGTATCCGCGTTCTTTCCAGTCATCGGTGTCCCGGTTAAGAATAAATCCAAATTTGGCAAGGGCTGCCATATTTGGTAGATGAAGCCTTTTTGCGCATTCTCTACCCCATTGCTTAGGGGTTTGGGAATGCGCGCGTCTAGATCTCTCTCCTCTACATGCGCAGATGAGCTCTGGGTCGAGATTGCTTTTTGCGTTGCTGGCGCGATTCATTTCCCTGAGCGCGCACGCATAACGCAACTTTCTTCTGCTTGAATCTTTTCGTTACCCCTTTGAACTCTAATCCTCCATTTTCTGTGAGATTAGTTGCCGTATTTTATTATTTGGGCGTTAACGGCGTAATCGAGTTCGCTTGTTTTGATTCAAAGTTGTAACAGGCACGTTATACATATTCGCAATACATCCCTATTTTACAGTCAAACCAGGTCAAGCGTACCCCCCTAGATTATATTAATGGCTCGATTATTCCAAAATTCAACCCGTTAGTGTTAGACTACACGCCTAAATCAACCACAAATTACTCCAAACTTCTAACTCTTTTAATACGTGTCGGTGGCGTTTTCCGCCATCTTGCGATTACATCATCTTGGCTAGAGCCAGTCCTTTTCGATATTATTCTAACTAGTTCCAGTTCTCTACATTCTCCCCCTCTGGAAAAAGATGTTGTCCTCAACATGAACGGATAGACCATAGTCTCTTGTGGGTTATCTCGTGTAACAGTTCCTCGTATTCTTGTATCTCATTATTGGGTCAACAAAGTTATCCTGGTTGATCAGGCCAGAATGTTCGCTTAAGTTGCCCAAATGTTACTGTGTTATCTTTACTGCACTGTACTGTTCGATAACGCGCCTATATCGATTGTTTGCCCGTACAAAGAACATGTAGAGATCGAGAAAAAAAAAA